TTTGCTGCTCTAACAGGGAATTTGAGCAACCTTTTGAGCAGTTGAGATAGAGTGATTAAGTCAAGTGCAAACGAGGACGTTGCCATGCGCTGAATGAAGATTATAAAAGTTTCCCCGAGACTTATAAGTCAGAAAATACAACTGACATTTATCCCGTTGGTGGCATTCGTGTATACCTGCTATGCGTGGCCTGAAAAATGTTTCAATCTCAACTCCGAGGTTATATCCGAAAGTTTCTGCTGAATCCTTGGAATTTACCACTTGTCATCTAATTATTCAATTTTTTCATGAAATGATACGGTATTTGCGGGATTCCGTTGCGTGAGCGTCAGTTTTTGAAACATTTTAGCTGTTTCTGTCTTGAAATTTCTGAAAAAAACAATATGTCTATTATACATAAAATGACACGTTTCCAATTTTATGGGATAGACTTGAGTCCCACAAATTTTTCTCGGCAGTAATCGATAAAATAAAAGCATCAAGTATACAAACAAGAGAATCAGGACATTTCATTTCTGTTGATTTTGAGACTAGCCCTGTTTTTTTTTAATAATACAGTTTTCTGATACAAGCCTCTGCAAATATTGATGCATGTATGTATTATTTTATTTCTGCTGCATGTATGTAAATTCTGCAGCATACAATTTAATAATTATAGTAGATTAAAAAATTAATCTAAAAAACCATGTTTCCAACAAGCAAAAAATAACCTTAAACGTGGTGCGCATCTATTTCATTTGTATTTCACTTCTTCCCAACAATCTCCATGCCCAACATGTTTAAGGTTATTTTTTGCTTTTTGAAAACGTGGTTTTTTAGATTAATTTTTTAATATACTATAATTATTTTATTCTTTTTAAAAAATATTCTTAAAATTAATTTTTTCACACAAGATTGCATTGTCATCAGTTTCTAGGCTATTCTGAAAGTTTCAGCTTGATAGCTAGTCGGGAAGTGAGTGAAATTTGAGTTTCAAAATTTGATCCGGACAAACAGACAAGAAAGTGAGTTCATAAAAACATGGTAAAAACTGGGAAAGTTCATGACTCAAAGCAAAATTTGAGTTGCAACAATAAGTTACATGACACAGATACAGGTGGTATTTTGAATTTTGACCTCACACAATTTGACTGTCCCGCAATTTGACGGTCAAATTTGCAGGGATAGGTTGACTTGCAATTTGACCCTTGCCCCACAATTTGACCTGTTTTGACCAGTTTTTACAGTTTTTTGCTAATAATTTTGAATTTCATGAAATGTCTTGCAATTTGACCACTTTTAAATTCAGTCCTAGTTCAGCTATGGATTAAAATTTGTATGAGGTGTTATTTGTAGAAAAGCCAACTTTCACTTTCATCAAATAATTTAAACTGTGGTCCTTCCAGAATTTCGAGGTAAAGGTATCCAACTTCATTGTAACTTTTATTGTTACATTTATTACGCTGAAAGTTTTGCACCGATCAGCACAAAAAAATGTCTGCAGAACATGGGTTGGGGAACACGTGCTCTAAAACTTTTAAACCCCAATTTTTTGAGGACTGGATTCTATTCTAGGGACCAAGAGAGGGAAAAGCAGTAAAAATGT